AGCATTTAATTTTCAGTGAAGACATTTTGGAACAGGACACATAAACACGTTGTTGTCCTTAAGTAGCTTTTTACTCTTTATCCACCCCCTTTTAGGGTTCAAGTTCTGACAGTACCCACAGGGGTGGGGGCGTGCAGCTGACTGGAAGCCAAGCAGACAGCTCCGGGAAGCCAAGACACAGTCCAACTGCCTAGGGGGAGGCCAGGTGCTGTGCCAAAACATTTGCATATTTGAAGACAGATCATATCCTGTTACAACTAATTATAAGAGGGTATGCAAGTTCTTTTCTGGGCATGGCATTGAATTGTACCCCCAATCTGCTTTACACTCAGTGGCAGGAAGATTTCCATTATCAGAACTCCTTTTCAGCCTGGGGCTAGTTGTAAAAGACATAGCCTGCTTTGGAAGTCAGTTTGTACATATCTGGGGTGGAAGGTGGGAACTGACCCACAGTCGGATGAAGGGGCAGATGGCACCAGGTGGGTGGAGCTGTGGATGTGCTTGGGAGAGGAAGTTCTATTCCCCTGGGGGAGCATGGTGGCATGCAAGATGAAAGGGGGGCCTTCTTTCACGCTCTCATGCTACCAGGTGGAACGAAGACTTTGTCATCCAGGGGGATGACCCACATGCAAAATCAGCCTCACTGTGGCTTTGGGAGTTTGTGGGAGGGACTCAGGGAGACTCTCACTATACTTGAGGATGCCATTTGGACACTAGAAGGAAGTGTAGCGTGCACTTCATGGTCTACCGAGTACTCCTTTCCTTCTAACTATGGTACCTTTTATTGTAGCAGAAGGGACCCAGCACCTGCCACAGTTTGAGCAAATACACAGATATATTTTTGTCAGCCTGAGTCCACTATCTTTTAAATGATTTTTAGATTGCCCAGTATTTTGTCACACACACACACACACACACACACACACACACACACACACACACACACAGAATTTCCCCCCTTCCTTTGATGTAATTAATAAAAAAAACAGTAGGATGAGACTGATTTCTTCCCCAAAGGCAAACTACAGGCAGACATCTTGGCCTCCCATTGGACCTTGTTCTGAAGGAGGAAGAGAAAGCCTGCCCTTTCCAGACAGGAAAGTCAAGAGAGCCTGACTGTGCTATTTTGTACCCAATTGTACCCAATTCTAGGCTGACTCAGAGGCCCAGAATTTGCTTCTAGCCAATCCTGGGAAGACTCCAGGAAGCCACATGGTTCAGTTCTGGTTACCAAGAGGGGTTCTTGACATTTGGAGGGGAGTTTCCAGTGGGACAGGCAACTCAGAAACGAAGCACAAAAAAGCATCCCTTACATCCTCTTAGAGAAAAGTATGGTCATTTAAACCTGTACTCCCTCACTGCTCTGAGTCGCTGCCCAGGACAGCATGGCATCTGGCTCAGGCCCTGGAGCAGCAGCCTGACTTTCAGCATCACCCTCTCTAGGTGGACACGAAGGTTGTGCAGGGACATTCTTCTCTTGACAGCACTGCTCCTCCTCCTGGCTCCTTCTCATCACCAGCCCTGTCCTGGTGACTGAGGCCACTGAGAGATCCTGGACAGACCACACTGTCCTCCTTTACTCAGCCAGCTGGCAGGCAGTTACTTTGAAGCACACCGAGAAGATGCAGTAGACAAACCAACTTTCTTTCCCGGGGTCCCCTGGGGCAGGGTCAGCAGAGTGAAGCTGGTCACCCTGCAGGGCTCATTGCTGGTTTTGAGCAATCCTGCGAAACTGTCCTCCAATGGCAACAGCAGGTGGGGACATCACAGACCAGAAAGCAGGTCATCAGAGGAGGGAGGATGGAGTTCAAAGGGAAAGACTAGTAAGAGGAAAAGAAAGCAAAGGAAAGGGAGGAAGAACAGAGGAAGGAAATGAAAAAGAAAAAGGAAGGAAATGAAAGAAAAAAGGAGGAGGAAACCCAGGGGAAGCCAACAGGAGCCGCTCCTTCTGGGTGCTTCACCACAGCAGAACAGGATGGGACTGTCAACTCGGTAAAGTCTGCCACCCGCAGGGAGTGATGAGGCCTCTGCTGGTGCTAGAGAGGTGCGCCCACCCAGCCTTCTTCCTATGGAACCCTCCCCCAACCTGGATATCATCAACCCCCTTGAGGTAAGCCTTGGGAGGCCAGGGCTCAGTCTAGCTTGATCTTTGGTGTTCTTGGTCTGGTATTCCAGAATCCTCACCATCCACACCACTGACAATGACATTCACAGCATGACCAGGAAGATCAGGGAAGGTCCTCTTCTAGCCTTGTTATACCTCCGCAGTGTAAACCAACCCAGGCAACTGTCAATGTCCTGAGCAAGCTGAGGACTGCATAGTCAAAGCTCCTGGCTTGTCTCTGTATGTCTAAGAGTTTCTTTTATGACTCTGTAGAGGGCCATTGACACTGTAATGGATCAGGAAATGCTAATTTGTGTTAGTCAAAGAGAATCAGGGACTAAAACCAAAACACATAAAGTGAAACACAAATCTGCAGCTACAGACACAACACCTCCATGTGGCTCAGCAAGTACACATTACAGAACCAATTTGTTCTGGTGGATCCTAATATTTTATACTCTGGCTTTCTTCTAGAAATAAAGGCAACAAATAACTAGAAATAAAATAAGCTGAATGAATGAGAGGGATGTCCAATGATCGCTTAAAGTGGTCAGTCTCAAACTTTAGGAGCATCTAAATGAGGGCTGAGGGCTTGGAGAGGCTGAGGCTGTTGAGGTAGGACAGGGCTAAGTCTTGGTGTATAATTCTGATTCCTTCCTAAGTAGGAAAAATGACAGAGTAGGACCAAGTTTGACACATGCTTCTGCATCTAGAGATGCTGCATATGGTATAATGAGCCAAATGGACTTCTGGCCAGCCACAGATGTGTGGGCTGTGTGGACTCAAGGGGTTACTTCCTATGGTCCCCAGTCCCAGGCTGGGCCTGCACTTACTGGTGAGGACCTTGAGGGTGAAGGGGTTCTTCTGCTGGATGGTGTGGGTGAAGTGGAAGCGGGCATTGCAGCTGTAGTCAGTCTGCATGTCTTGCAGCATGACGTTAGAGAAGTACAGGTCCCCGTTATGGCCCTGGGAGACACGCTTGTCCTGGCTGATGGGCTCCATGGCTGCAGGGAAGCAGAAGGATAGGAGGTTAGCAGATAGATACTGGTGATAATCATTGCCATGGGTCTGACATTGGGACATTTCAGAAGGCCAGATGGGAGCCAGGAGCTCAGCCCACTCCTCTCAACTCTGCAGCAGGGTATAGTCCCTCCTTACAGAGAAGCGGAGGGTTGAATGCAATTAGATCCAGACAAACCTGTTCCTTGTGCCTATGTTCTGTGACCAAGCTGTTCTAATTCCTGCTCCTGCCACAAACTGACTGACCTCAAGGTCAGAGGGAGAGAACACAAGCCTTTGTATGTGTCTCAAGTCAGGATTAAAGTGTATATATGAGTGAAAGAGCAACCAAGACTCCTTCATCTTTATGCCCCAGCACTCACCTGAGGCCAGAGCATACTTTGTTGAACTTAATTAAAATTTAGCCATCATCAATTTTAAGATACATTTTTATTTATTTATTTTTTGACCCCTTAGGAAAAAAGCAGTTCTCAGTCGTAGTTTTCAGATGCCAACCGAAGATGCACACTGTCAATTTTAAGAGGTCTTCCAAGGTTAGAGATAGTAAAATATAGAATCCAGAGTGCATGACATTACAGGAGTGGCCAGGGGATATAGATATCATCGCTTTTTCAAGAACTGTAAATGTACAGGACTGGGTTTCCAGGCTGTCAGGTCTGTTAGCTTACACGCCACGCTGATTACCATAGCAATCTACTTCTTATTCCCACACCTGATGCCAACTGTTCCACAATGGGCTTCTCAGCTCTTCAAATCACTCCTCTAAGATCTTTTGAGGGCTCATTACTGTCAGGCCACATGTTCTAGGTACTGGTGAAAGACAAAATCCCAGTCTAGCAGGAGAGAAAGCGGGTAAATAAATAATTGCAATATGAAGCAGAGGAGCAAGCGTACCAGGGAGGAGGGACGCAGACTGCAGAAGGGACCTTAGCCTCTAGGGTGTCCTGAGCAGGACCCTGAAGGCTGCATGTTAGTCCAGACAGAAAAGAGAGAAGAGCTGCAAGGTTTTTAGAAAGCTGAAGAGTATGTGCCAAAGGCTGAAAAGACGTGGCCTAGTCAGGAGCTGACGGGTTCAGGAAGGAAGGGGCAGGGGAGGGGCTGGAAAGGCAGAAGGACCAGGTCAGGAAGGGGACTGTCCTAGGTCTGGACTTGTCCTGATATGAGGGAGGAGGCAATAAAAGCACATGAATGAAGCTACCTGATTTATAGTTGCTTGGAAGTCTAGGGAGGCCTGTTATGGCTAAGTGTGTAAACCAAGGGACAGCTGACAGGAGCCAGGGCTAGGGAGGCATCAGTGAGAACAGAAAGAAGAGGAGGACCATGAGATCTGTTTGAGGGGTGGCGCTCAGTGATGGATGTGACATGATGGGTGAGAGAGGAGTCTGTAGTTAGGCATCCCTCCCCACAAATGTGATAACAGAGAGGACAATAAGAGGTAGAGCTATCCTCGCCTTGCAAAGCAACTCACAGTACTGCCTTTCCTGCACACCCTCATTGGAAGCTGGTTGAAGAATCAGGGTAGAGGATGATGGATGGTAGAGAGGAAGGTAGCTGGATATACAGGATGGATGGATGGACAGGAAATAGAAGGGTAGAAAGAAGGGCAGCAGAGGCAGACAGGTGGGCAGGAAGGGAGAGGGAAAGGAAAGTCAGGGAGATGGAAAGAGAGAGAGAGAGAGAGAGAGAGAGAGAGAGAGAGAGAACATTTGTCACATTCATAATGTTCTCCCATTATTTTAATTGAAAACATGGAAAAAACTGGAATCTTTATAGAGGCTAAGTGAGCATCAGTCCACAACAGAGGCCAAACAATCTCTGAATACTGTTACCTGGTCTCTGATCCAAATGCTATTTCCTCTGAGCTACTTTTTCAAAGCTTCATTCTCTAATCCAACCTCTGTTCCTCTTTTGAAGTGGAGTAAAAACAGGGAGACCAAAGACCAAACAAGAGGTGACGTGTCACCTCCCTTCAATTGTGCTTTTTCCTCCTTTTTCTCTTGATCTTTACCTTCACCAGTAAGAACTTCCAGAGAGAATACTTTGGCTCTACATACTCATTTACCCTTACAACCGCCCCCTAAATACAATGGCAGCTCTATTTTTTCCAGATGAGGAAATGGAGGCTCAGAGGCACGAAGGCACTTGCTCATGACCACACAGAGTTGGCAGCTTCTCACCAGAGCTGTTTTGAGCCATGTGGCCACTTTGCATCTGTTCTTACGAGTCAGGTCTCCCAGCTTGGGGTGAGCCCTCTTATGTTAGTTTCTTCATTTCTGGGACATTTCTTCTAACCAAGGCAACCTGGTTTATTTTGGCTTGCAGCTCCAGGGAAGTTCATCATGGTGGGGAAGGCACAGTGGCAGAGACATAAAGCTGCTGGTCACACTGCAACCTTAGTCAGGAAGCAGACGCATGCTGGTGCTCAGCTCACCTTCTCCTTTTTATTCGGTTCAGGACCCCTGCCCATGGAATGGCACCACCCACATTTAAAGTGGGTCTTCTCACCTCAATTAACTTGATCTAGAAAATCCCTTAAAGACATCCCAGAGATTTGTCTCCAAGGTGATTCTAGAGCCTGTCAAGTTCACAATCAATATTAACCATCACACCTCCCATTCAAACTGTCCACTGCACCCCTGGAACTGGTCTCTCTGTGAGGTCAGACCTATACTTACAGCTACTCATCCAGAAGATGACTGGGGATGGGAGGCCAGGTGGAGGGTTGCATTGCAATGTCAAGGGGGCACCTTCTTGAACTACAACAGGGTCCAGGTTTTCCTTGGGCCACAGGGGAGATTCTGAAGAGAAAGAGACAGAGGAAGGTGAAATGAGGCTAATGGCTGGTCTTGGGAGACTTGAGAGAAGGGAAAACTGGAGAATGAAAGAGGACTCAAGAGGGTAGGTAAGCTGGGTGGGCCTTGAACAGAAGTCTTTTGTCACAGTGTATGCCCATCTTTAGCTGTCCTCTTCTCTCCCCTCTTCCAGCACCCAGGGTGGCTGGTAAGGTTGTACCAGACTAGCCTGGAAGCTTCTTTTCCAGGGATCTTTCTCGGGTAGGTGAGACCCACGGAGGGCAGAGCCTCCTGCATGCCCTCTACCCTCCAGGGAGCTGGCACCAGCTTTGCCTCGGGTGAGCACTCACTGGACACCTGTAGGCGGATCCGATTGCTCAATGCAGTGCCAAATTTGTTGCGGGCGAAGCACTGATACTCCCCCTCATATTCCTCAGGTCGCCCACCGCTGCGGAAGTCAATCACCAGGGTTCCAGACCTTCTCCTCATGGACACTCGTGGGTCCTTGGCAATGTTGAAAAATCTGCTGTTGCGAGTCCAGTGGAAACTGTGGATAACAGGGGCCAGGCTAACCAGAAGCAGAAGCCGGGATGGGCCCCAGGTGAACCTTGGATCCTGGTCCCCACTCAGTGGCAGACTTCTACTCTCTGCTCCATCATCACACCCCCATGCCAATGAGTCCAGTACTAGGCAGAGCCACCTGGTAAGCTCAGGAGAATGCCTATCATGTCTAGCAGGACTGAGTCTGCAATGAGTGTTGTTTCCAGCCAAGCCTAGCATTCTTAGCTCTGAGTGGTAGATACCCAACTTCTCCAGGGATTTTGTTCTGAAAGTATATAACTGCGGGGTAGACAATGATTTCTGAAAATCTAGACTCAGCTATTTTCTTTATCTCATGACATACCCAGTCTCCTCTTAGGAATGCAAACTCCATATTTTACCCACCCACATACATTGGGGGACCAGGTCTGATCATCCACACTTGAATGATATAATCTGCTCCAAAGCCACCGAGCTGTCTGTTCCTTACTTCACAAGTACAGATCATGAAGTCCATAAAGCAGCAGCCATGCATTGGAACTGTGAAGGGCAGCTCTGAATGAACCAGAAGGCCAGTAGAACAGTGCTGATAAACAGCCTATTAAGTCCCCCTGGGCCTGAAGTGGGGCTCAGCAGTAAGGCACTTGCTTGCCAAGTACAGGTTCTAGGCTCCATCCCCCATACAAAATAAATAAATAAATAAATAAATAAATAAATAAATAAATAAATAAATAGTAAGTAAAAGTAAGTCGCTCTGCTTGTCCTGGGAGGATACACATGCCTGCTACAGCCAGGTGTCATGTCCTCACTTATGTTGACATGGTACAAGCTTGACAAGAGGCAGGAGCAGTGGCTACTCAGAGTTCTTGTTCCCACATAGGAGCAAAAGGGGAACAACTAATCCTACAGGCACAGTCACCAGTTCCTTAGCTGGTCCTTGTGTGTGTGTGTGTGTGTGTGTGTGTACAAGACTGTAAAGGCCCAAGGAGGTCAGAGGTGTCGGGAGTCACCTGATGTGCGTGCTAGGAATTGAACTCTGATCCTCTGCTAGAGCAGTATGTGCTCTTCACCACTGAGGCCTCCCTCTAGCCTTGAACTGGACTTCTCAGCTGTGGTATTTGCCTTAAGTATCACCAGGCTGAGGCAAGTGGGTGGTTTCAACAGTGGCTTTTCAGGTCCCTTTCACTCCACTCACCTGGGGGCAGGGTTCCCTTTGGCTTCACACTCGATCAGGATGTTATCACGGGGGTCCACGATGTGGTCCTTCACTGACTGCTTGGTGATAGTTGGGGGCTGGGTCACTGCAACAGGGCACATGGGGCAGGGGTCAGAACTGCAGGGACCTGCCCTGGTCTTGTCTTACAGAATGGCTAAAATCAAGAGCTTTAGGAACTATCCAGACATGTGGGCAAGCAATACCCTGTTCTAGAGACATAACTTCCTAAATGGGGTTGGTTGCAGGACAGGGGGAGGTGTCAAAGGTTGAGCATAAGAACTCTTTTTAAGAAGATCCAGTGTCCCTATGAGAAACTGAGAGCCAGGCTTTGTTTCACTCAGGCTTATATCCCAAGGCCTAGCACACAGCACAGGACACAACAGTTCTTGCTAAATGTGTGTTGGGTGAATACAGGAACAAAAGCAGCTGTGATTGTAGAACTTAGGGCTGTTATGTTTCTGAGCCCTGAGGCTCAACAGATGGCCAGACTGCTGAGGCAAGAGCTAAAAGAGGCTTCAGTCTCTTAGAGCTGCCCAGGGATTTCCATGAGCACCAGCAAGCCCATGTTCTGCCCAGTGGTCCAGCACCAGCCACCAGTTGGAGGAATTCCAGAAACTATGAAGCACTATAGCTTCTATCCAAGTGGTCCTTCTGACTACCTGCTACTGGGGAAGCTCTTGTCTTCCATTGGTGTGGGGGCTTCACTACAGGGCCTAAGGGTTGAGCAGCCCCAGCTGATAGCAGAGGGGCCACTGATCTCGGGCCTAGCCTTCTCCCAGTCCCTCCTTCCTCCCTCCAACCTCCCAGAAGTTCAAGGGCAGAGAGGCACATGAGACACTTACGCTCATTCTGAATGCTTGCTGTTAGTTCCAGTGGGTTAGCATTGGTGGGGAGGGAGAAAAGAAACATGTTATTGCACAGGACTGATCAACTAATGGTTAGGTGTTCTCTTACCCTAGTATGCAGGGTTGGGGTGAAGTGACATGGGGACAGCACTGGGAATGGGGCTCTCTCTTAGCTGTGGAGTTGATGGAAGAGTCAGGCAGGGTTGGAAAATAGACCCAGCAAATGCTTCATGGAAAAGGTATTGCTGAGGAAACCAAAACCACACAGGAGAACAGGACCAGCTTGTGACCAAAGGAAGATGCTACTAGGGAATAACAATGCTGCTTGAAAGGGAAGCATTCAGACGCCTCTTGGCATCTGATACCATTGAGGGAAGTGGGTACCTTGGTCCACAGTACAAAGGGGAGATGAGGTCAGGTGCAGTGCTGGAGAAGGAGCGTACTTGAACCACTTCTACGGGGTAGAGGCCCAAGGGATGGAAGCCCTGAGGGCCCAGCTAGGCCCTAGGCCTCATTTCCCCACTACATTGCTTTTCTCTGACACAAAAGCATGTTCTTTCCTCACTGCCTCATCCTTTCCCATCCTTTGGAAAACTGGGAGATGAATTACTGTTGTCTTTCCATGGTAGAAACAAATTTCTAAAGATATCCCGCTGCTATGTGAAGAGTCCAGGCACACGGCCGAACCCACCACTCCTTCCTGTGTTTTCCATGAAGGGAGAAAAGAGGTGGTGACCCACATCCTTGCCAGTCGCATCTGAATGCACAGGCTCATGCACAGGTGTACTCCTGTGTAAGTGTGTTTAAGGTCTGCCTCTCTCAAAACAATCAGATGAATCATGGGACTGGTTAAAATAAATGTAGATTCTGGCTCAGCTAGTCTGGTGTAGGGCCTGGGTCCTACTTTGTTTTCTTCTTTCCAATGCTGGAGACAGAACCCAAGGCCTTGCAAAGGACAAGGAAGTGTTGTACCACTGACTGCATCCACCTTAAATCTGCATTTTCAACAAGTACCTAAGTGATGCTGAGGTCGATGAATCAAACTTTGGGATTTAGATGCCTTGATCTTTGTGGATAACAAGCCTGGGTTCAAATATGTGGAGAAAAGACATATATCTGTAGAACTTTTCAGTATCTTTCCTCATGATGCCATCAGAAGTACCTGACATCCTCATGCCACCCTGGCACAGATATCAGCTACTGGAGGGGCACTCTGGACTACCTTTTTCAGAGTGAGTGCAGCTGTGGGGAGCAGGAGGTTGTGGGCACCAGGACAGAGCCATGGTGATTTTGATGCCATCCTGCCAAAGTGAAATGAGACAGGCACGGGGGATGGGGCTCTGAAAAGGCAACCTGCAGGAGCCAGTGCTCAGCTAGGTCCAAGGGTTACATAGAGAGTCACAGAAGCAGAGGGAAGAAGTGGGGATGGAGCATGGCAGGGATGAGGAGGCCACTGTGCACGCTGAAAGGGAACCTTTGACGAGGCTCCAAATGGCCACCTGTTAAATAATAAAGGGACAATTTATCTTCCACCTGACTAGGTCTGCCTGTGCAGGAAACAGGAATGAAAAGTTCAGGAGGAAAAGCAAGTCTGCTCTGTGCTGTTCCCCACCAAGTGTTCTTTCACTTGTATAGGACTTTCCTGCCAGAGGACCAAGACAGGTAATTCTGGAAAGACTGAGTCAGTGGGGTTGGCACAGCAGGTAGTTAGGGACAGACAGGTAGGGCAGACACCTGAGTGTCTTGCTTTTGATCACCAGCTAGGTTCTGGTTTCTTTTTGGGGGGACATAGTGATATCTTGGGTTCTCATGTACAGCTGAGGGCTCTGCCCCGCCCCCTCCCCCCAGGACCTTCTTCACATCCAGATCTCGAATTCAAGGAGGGGCAGTCATGGCTAAGGTCATGTGGAAGTTAGCTGAAGAGCATTCTAGGGAACTCCTCTCCAGATGCTTACTCCAGAGCATTCTACAAATCCATCCTTGGCAAAGGTTAGTATGTTGTTGTTCTTAATGTTTTGGGGTGGGGAAAAGTGGGGAGACCTCAGTGAGTAAAGACTCTCAGGCCAGTTAGAGCTGTCTAGTTGTTGTCCCTGGTCCACATTGCCTGTCTGACCAAGTACCTCTTGAGGATCTACTTGCTGAAAGGGACAATGACATTTTCAGCCACCACTGTGCTCCTAAGGGATTTATTACAGGGACAGAATCAACTCAAAGACAAGTTGCCATAGGGAGAGAGAGAGCCTGTCTGTGGACAAGGATGACTGAATTCCGCATGTTCTTCTTTCCTTTAGGAAACCTGCTGTCTGACAATGTCAGGTGAAGAATGAATTTGTTCTTTTGGTTTCCAAGGAGAAAAAGCCCTCCCAATCCTGCCCACAGGGGTGAGCAGACGGCCTGCCCAGGCTGCAAGGCTCTGCCTTCGTGCCCCTCTTTTCTTCCTGGGCTCTGTCCTTGTGGAGTGGAAGTGCTACCGCGAGTTACCGAGGCCATCCTATAGCACTGTTTGAATGAGGCTGAGGAAGAGTATCTCTGTATTCTGTTGTCTTCCTCTATGGGCTCCTAGGAGGAAATGTTGAGTCCCTTCAATGTGGGAGGAGGCCAGAGAGACAAGCTTCCAGCAGACTCAGTTTTTGGCAAAGCCACTTTGGTTGATGAGGCGACCCTTTGCTTTTTTCAAAGGTCACACTGTTCTCCTCAGGAATAATAGGAGGGAGGTGGCGTGTGACTTCACTGGCAAGGCAGTTGGAGCTGGGGGCTGGGCACGTCAATGAGGGATTGTGTAGCCACCCAGTGTGCTGTTCCAGAAAGCTGCTGTTCCAAACCCAAATGGAGGTGGTGTCCCTGACCTAGAGGCACAGAGAATACCCTGAAGGGGCAAATGAGTAGGACACAGGGCAGGACAGTCTCTGGCCCGAGACACCTAGCACCCCTTTACCAGCAAATGGGGTAAGTTAGAAACACTTGATCTTTCCAAAGCCCAGACAGAAGTTAGGCTCAGCAAATGTGGGAAGGAATGTGGTGCTAAGCCGGGGGAGAAATCTGTGCAAGGAGACCCTTGTCTTGCGTTGTCCTGAATCCAGTCTCTGTAGACTCATTGAGATGCAACTAGGGAGGTGCAGTGGTTTATGGGTCGCCTGCCCTGACACAGCCCAGGCCAACCAGAGCTGTATGGCAGAGGGATCCCCTCTCCCTCAGAGAGATGCTACTGTCAGATCCTGGCTCTGCCTCTTCCCTGCTTCCTAACTTGTCTGCTAAAGATGACACCCACATCTGGATTCACCACAAAATTTATGCATGGTGAGGCCCACACTGCTCTGAGTTCTCTGCCTTTCCCAGGACAGCTGTAATTCCATGAGGTTCAAGAGGTCTAAGGAAGCAGAGTAATCATCAAGTGCTAATGCAGAGTCAAAAGACTCAGGCTCTGTTCCGACTCCATCACTGTGAGTGTTGTGACCCTGAGCAAGCAAGGGTCAGGTCTGTGAATCCAACATGGAAGGAAGGGTTCTCCCAGTTTCCTCCAGGACACTGGGATGGGCAGTCAATGGTAGAGAGGTCAGAGCTCTTGTCCCTCCTTCCCAGACAGCACATGGGTTTCCTGTTGTGTCTCCATCTCCAGTAAGGCTTAGAAATCCAGATTGTCAGCACAGAAGCCAAAAGCATCTATTTCTGGGTTCACTCTGCAGGAGCCCCTCCCCAACCAGCCCTGGATATCACATGGCAGGTGAGGGAGAAGTGGCAGAAGGGAAATGAGCCTTCAGCATGTTCTTGATAACCCGATTTCCTCCGCACCCTCCTCTCCAGGGACATGCCCTTATCATGCTGCTTATTAGATTGTCTGCCTGGCTGTTAATGAGAACTCTCCTTGAGCCAACCACAGACGGTCACCATGGGAACGCTTCTCTCATATCCCTCCTCTCTTCCTCCCTACATGTGTACATATATGCATGTACACACTCAGGCAGCTTGAGAGTAGCAGGGGCCTTGCCAGCTCACTTCTGGGGTCAATTTATAGTTATTACTGTCCTCTGTTATCCAGAGGTGCCCACTCCTCTTGGACAGCTGTCATTGGTGACTGGGGTGACTGGAGATCTGGCTTTGAAGCTCCATGGGGCCTTCTTGAAGGCTGTCTTTGTCTTCCCACTTCCTCCCGTCATCTGTTTACTGGAGAGGGTCCAAGTATGTGCTGGCATCATATGGACTCTATGAATCTGTGAGGCAGGGAACAGGGGGCAAAGGGGCTGTGCCTACATCTTAGTACTGGGATGTTAAGACTTTTGGCAGAAGTGCCAAAACTATGGCCAACGGGAATAAGCCTACAAACAGGGTAAAGGAGCTGGGCTACCGATCAGCAGACGTCAGTGAAGATAGCAACAGAGAGGGCAGATAGAGACATTAGCTCAGAACATCAGATTCAGACAGGGCCCACTACCAGAAGCAGAGCATGGGTTTTACTTTCCATAGTACTGTGGAATGTTAGGAAAGAAGCAACCTGTACTTGGTTCTCCCATGGTTACATAATATGGCTTACTGTCTCGTTTAGCTGGGCATCTTTAAACAAAATTATTATTCCTCTCCCAGGCTAGCTACCATCTTTCTTATTACTCCAGTCAAGACTGGGCTATCAGCTTTGGATATATCAGAGAGGCAAGTAAGGGCAACTTACCATGCTTGGAAGCTGCTTTTACAAAGGGCAAGTCATGGCCATGGTCATGGCTTGGGGATGGGGGGTTTATGAGGGGAGGGAAGAACTCCAGGTGGCTCTAGGAATTCCAAATTCTCTATAATTTGTGGTTCCACTAAGTAAACTCTGGGCAGCACAGACACCAGCTTAGCTATATCCCTGAGAGAACAGGCCTTCATTTTAGCTTCCTGTTTCCCAATTGGAGTCTGTATCAAGTCTTTGGAGAAATAGCAAGCTCTGAAGCCCAGAATCCACCGCTACACTCTCCCTAATCTCTTTGACCTCTCTCTCCCACACTCACTCCTCTGCCTAAGAACAGGAAGAAAACACAAAGAGCAGGAGAGAACTCACGATCCATTGGAATCTCGATGGCCCCACCAAGGCTGAGGAGGAAGAAGATGAGGGCTGTGTGGACCCAGGGTGGTGCCTGCTTCCTGGTCATCCTCAGCACCAGGCCCTGTTCCCTGCTCCCCAGCCCACGGGCTCTCACTGCCTTGTGCCGCTCTAGGTGGGCCTCCCGGTCAGAGTTCAGCTAGAAAAAGAAAAGTAAGTAAGTTTCTCATGAACTTGTGCTTTGCTCTAGTAATTCTCATAGTCTCAAAAGACTCAAGGAACCCTCCTGGTCATAGAGTTGGGGGTTCCCTAAAACAAGGTTTCTAACCTTGGTATCATTTAGAACTAAACAATTCTTGATACAGGGAACTGTCCTGTATATTGTAGGATATTAACAGTATCCTTGGTCTCTACCACCAGATGCCAGTAGAGCCTGACCAGCCTTGCTACCAATCAAAAATATCTCTGGCCCAAAAGAGATATGCCGACCCTACAGCTTCCTTGGACCATGTGCTGAGTGTGCCTGGGACAGAGTATGTTTGGGGAGGGGCACAGGGACAAGACTTTAGTGCTGTCCTCTGATCCCAGGGTGAGGGGGAGGACTGTTCCAGAGGAAGGAATGACTCAAGTTCAGTGCTATGAGACCTCCTGAAGCTCTGAAACAGTCTCAATAATGCTCCAGCTGCCAATATCACAGGGCCAGGTCAAAGGGGAGGGCGGCCGGCATCCTCTCCAGAATCCCTCAAGCTTTCCTCAATGAACAGCTGCCTATCAGCTGGACACATTTTTCTCCTACTCCTGCTTTATTTGGCAAAAATTTGAAGACCACAGTCAATGGCACATACCCGCCCATCCACCCTGAGGGTGTGAAGGCCAGGGATAGAGAAAAGGCCTTCGTTGTCATTTGGAAACTTGCAGCAGGAAGCAGGTCACCAGTCACTGCCTCCCTGTGTCAGGATGAAGGATTCTGACTCACAATCAGCAGCTGTGCGGGACACCAGCCCCCCAACTTCATGTATATATCTGGGCTCCATCTACCTGCCTCCCCATGGCCAACACCTTGGTTTTGAGCACCAAAGTTCTAGGCCAGAGTTACTCCAACAGCTTCCAAAGTACTTCTCTGCTTCTGCCCCTGCCTCCAATCCACAACCAGAACTATTATCTCTAAAATACAAATATAAATACACCACTCTTCTGGCTAACTCTCAAACCCACTGCTAACTCCAAGTTCAAGCTGACCTCCTTGACTGGCTCTAGGCCCTGCACCATGTGCCTGTCTGATCTCTCATCCTCCCCTGGCATGCTGCTCCTCACAGGTCCTTAGTGCATTGTGCTCTGTCTTGACTGATGACCTGGGGCAGATTAACCCGTGTGCTGGACACTCTATGAGCTGGCCTCTCACTAGGGTTTGTTAAGTGTGACCTGTATGTCTAGCCTGTGCTCCTGTACACCCACTATGCCTCCCACAGTAGCTCCTCTTGCTTTATATTCATTCCTGAAAGTCACCTGAAAGCTCCATAAGGGAAAGTTTGTTTATTGTCCTGTCTTTAGAATTTATTACCATATCAAAGACACAGTATCCCTCAAAAATGTGTGATGGATGGAAGTAAGAATGGGTAAGAAAATGAACAAATGAAAGGGTGAAATAAGAAGCTAATTAGATGGTGGTGTTTTTAAAATTGTTGCAAAATCCATTTCTCTAGAAAACCACCAGGCAGCATAAGAAAGCATCGGCTGGAAGGGTGACCAAGGTGGGAAAATTCCCTACAGGTCAGACGCTGCCCAGAAACCAACCAGCTGGAAGAAGATGAGAGAACAGAAAGTCTCCCAGGAAGGAATCCTTTGGCTAGAAGGCATCATGGGGCCTGACTCTCCAAGATGGCCGTGTCCCCCAGGCAGGGCAGCTCACCAATGCTTCTCCTTGACTTATGTATCTCCAGAGACCAACCTCTGACTCTCCAGCTGGAGCCAAGCATAGAGGGAGCTTGCACTAGGGAGGATACCACCTCCCTTCAGGGAGAGGGCAAGAGGGCCCCAGTCTGTTTGACTCAGGACCAGCCAAGTGGTAGAAATGATGGGAAAGGGAGGGCTGTTTCGTTCTGGGAACCTTGATGGACCTGGAAACTGGAAGCTATTCTTTATTAGCTAGAAACATGTTGACAGGAAAAAGTCCAGTTGTTAGGGGTGTCTGAAATTTGTAATTTAACAACACAATAGAAAAGTCTCTCCCTCTTTGTTTTCAGGAACCCAAATTTTTCTAACCAAATCTTAAAAGAAGAAGGCTCAAAGGCTAGTCAGTTTTACATGATCTCTTATGCGTCAGTAAGAAGAATCAAGAGCCCAGAGAGGGCAAGTGACTTGCTTAGGGTCACCTACCTGGTTAGGGCAAAGTTAGGAAAAGAATCCAGGTATCCTGACTCCAAACTAGGACTTTTCAGGCCATATTCCTTAATATGCAGGAAGTTCTAAAGTGAATTGTTGTTTTAAAGAGAAATGTATGTTTCTCCCAAAAGTTCTCCCAAAAGTTAAGCATAAAATTTCTTATGACCTTTCAATTTTATTTTATTTTTTATATTGTATTTATTATTTTTATTTTATGTGTATGAGTGTATTGCCTGCATGTATGTGAGTGCACTGTGTTGTGCAATGCTGTGGAGGTCAGAAGAGGGCTTCGGATTCCCCTGGAACTGGAGTTAAGGACGGTTCATAGCTGCCATGTGGGTGCTGGGAATCAAACCCGGGTCCTCTGCAAGAGCAGTCAGTGCTCTTAACCGCTGAGCCATCTCTCCAGCCCAGTTTTTATTTTATTTTTTTAAATTTTACTTATTATTTTATGTGTATGTGTATATTGCCTGCATGTAGTTAAATGCACCCATGTCGTGCAATGCCCATGGAGGACAGAAGTGGCTGTCGGATCCTCTGGAAATGGAGTTATGGACAGTTGTTGGCTGCCATGTGGGTGCAGGGATTTGAAATCGGGTTTTCTGCAAGAACAATTAGAGTTCTTAACCACTGAGTCATCTCTCCAGCCCCTGACCTTTCAATTTTATATCAGGTATCTGCCAGAAAGATTTGAGACAGGTTCTCAAACAAGCACATGTGCAGACTCTTTACAGAAGCATCCTTTACAGGAGTCAAACAGTGGAAATGGCCCTACATCCATCAACAGATGGATAGAGAAAAACATTTTGGTTTATACATGCCATGGAATATTATTCAACCATAGAAAGGAATGAAACACTGACACATACTGCACTGTGAGAAAATCCCCATGCTCAGTGAAGAAACCATACCATCATACAAATGATCCCATGTGCAAGTTTCATATAAATTTCCAGAATAGGTAAATATACAGAGACAGAACACCATTGGTAGCAACCAGAGGCTGGGGAAGGCTACAGAAAATGACTGCTTAGTGGTGTAGGCTTCTTTGGGAAGATGGAGAGGGTTTCGACCTAGACAGAGGCAACAGCTACAATACACATTATGAACATCTTAGAAGTTACTAAATTGTATACTTTAAAACTTCCAGGCTAGCTAGGGTTACATAGTGAGACCCTATCTTTTTTTTTTTTTTTTAAAAAGGCCTATTTTATGTGACTTTCATTTCAACAAAAGAAAAGTATAATGTTGGTCTCTGCAACATGCTCACAGACATGAAAAAGGGCAGGGGAAGGTGAGTGACTGGATGTGTGTACACAGTGGCCCTCAGCATGGAAGGCAGGCAGGTGTGTGCTCTCAACCATCCCTACATACTGCAAGGTAATTTCCATCTGAGTTAAGGGAGGAGGCAGCCTGGGGTTCTGGTGCACAGTGAGTGCAGAGAGGCCTCTAAGGTCCTAACATCAGCAAAGCCTGAAGTTCCCCATGACAACCATGGAATAAGGGGCAGGGTTCTTGGCCTACCACAGTCACATCCACATCTCCAAATCAACAGCAGTGGTATAGCCAACATGCCATGGCCCAGGCACAGCATCGCCTAGGTTCCTTTCCAGGTCTTTCCAATAACGTAAAGGGTGTATTAGTTTTGCTACCTGTTGCTGTGATAAAATACCCTGACAAAAGCAACTTGGGGAGATTGGGTTTATCCTAGCCACAATTCTAGGTTATTGTGCTGGATAGCTTTAGTGTCAACTTGACACACCTGGGTTGAGGGAGCCTCAATTGGGGAATTTCCTCTATTGGACTGGCCTGTGGCCATGTCTGGGGGGGATCTTCTTGATGAGGATGTGGGAGGGCCCAGCCCACTGTGGGTGGTGCCACCCCTGGGCAGATGGGCCTGTGTTGCATAAGAAAGCAGGCTGAGCAGGGGCCAGGGGAGCAAACCAGTAAGCAGCGTTCCTCCATGGCCTGTGCTCCAGCTCCTGCCTCCAGGTTCCTGCCCTGAGTTCCTACCTTGGGCTCCCGGATGAACTGTGACCTGGGATATGTAAGCTAAATAAACCCTTTCCTCCCCAAATTGGTAGTGGTCAGAGTATTTTGTCACAGCAATGAAGAACAAACTAAGACAGTTATGATCCATCACTTCAGGGAAGCCAAGACAGTAGGAACTTGAAGGAGCTGGTCACATCCAGTCAAGAGCAGAGAGAGAATGAATGCATGCCTGCTTATGCTCAGTTGGCTTCTTTACTCTTACACAGTCCAGGATCCCCTGCCCAGGGAATGGTGCCGAACACAGCCTATGGGTCTTCCTACCTCAATTAAAGTAAGCAAGATAATCCCCCACAGGCCAAACTAATCTAGACAATCCCTCATTGAGATTCTCTTCCACAGTGATCCTAGATTATGTCAAGTTGACAATTAAAACTAACCATTACAAGGAGTTGAGGCATGGGATGGAGATGGTGGGCATGTGGGCTCTGGCAAGAGCTCCTTGAGGGGATGAGGAAAGGCTCACACCCCATAGGGAAAGTGGAGGACAGAGACAGACAGGTGGAGGCTGAAGACTGGCTATTACAGTCTTCGAATGTTTTTGTTTGGCTCCACAGAGGTAAAACCAGGACCACGTAGAGGAAATGACAGAGAGGAGGGGCTTCCCTGAATTTCAGGGAGGAGCTATCCAACAGTCACAGTTGCCACACACCACTTACCACAACTAAGCAAGGCTGAGCAGAATGGCTGGACAACAAACACGCAAAGCTCTAGACTTAAACTTCTGGGCAGGCGCCAGATCAGGTTGTAGATTTTTATGTTCCTTTG